CGCCGGCGCGGACGCGGACGCGCGGGGCAGCTCCGGCAGCTGGGTGCTGGCCGACGCCGTGGCGGAGCGCAACCTGCCCGTGGCGCACCTGCTGCTGGGCCGCGGGGCGCGGGGCGACCGGTCCACGCTCGCCGGGCAGCCGCTCGTCGTCGCGGCCATTCGCGACCGCCAGCTGCCGGTGCGGGACAAGACGGAGCTGGTGCGGCGTCTGCTGCAGCGGGGCGCCAAGGGCACGGCCACGGACGGCGGGGTGCCCGCGCTGCGGTGGGCGCTGGAGCAGCCGGCGGGGGCGGGGGCCGGGCTGGTGGATGTGGTCGCGCTGCTGCTGCAGCACGGCGCCGAGGCCAACAGGTGCGTCATGAATGACAAGACGGGCGAGACGGCGCTGCTGTACGTTGTGCGGAGCGGCAGGGCCGCCGAGGCCGGCCACCTCCTCAAGCACGGCGCCAACCCCAACGAGGGCGGCGACGGCAAGCTCCGCAGCGGTGGCACGCCGCTGCCGTCGCCGCTGGTGCAAGCCGTGGTGCGGCGGGATGCGGACATGATTCGTCTGCTGCGCGCGTACGGCGCCAAGCTGGACGAGACCATGCTCGAGTTTGCGAGGACCGTGGTGGAGCAGCCGCAGATTTACGAGACGATTACGGCACGGCCGGTGAGGGGAGGTACCTCGTCGTCGGCGGGACGGCAGAGTGCCGGGTTGTCTATGCAGGGAGAGATGAGCTCGCGGGCGGCCAGTCCGCCACCGGCATATGAGACGGTTTTGAGCTGAAACGGGATACAGTGATACCAGAGATCCCAACAACAGGAGCGGGCAGCAAAGTCGGCGAATCTTACACACCTGGGAATTGCCCCGCCATGAAATCACTCACCAAACTTCGCCCGTCGGTTACTTTTTGAAGCGTCACCTGTCGGAGCTATATTCAGAACACTTCTGTGTTGTAATACCCTGGCTGTCAATATCATGTGGCGAATACCTATTTGCAACCGCTTCACAGTTCATGCAATTTTGGTTGCGAAGCTGCCAGTATTGTGAGGAGAAAGAGGGGTCTGCCACACCCATTCTTGGTGGTTTTCATCAAGATCTGTTTGGACAGGAGAAGCACGGTTGAACTTGTGGACGTTGTGGACGGAACTGATGTATCCGAGCAATGTGGGGAAGATCATCTGCCCTTAGATGGGACCAACGATGCGAGTAGGTACAAGATATAAATCGAAGCGGAATGGAATTGCTGGGGGCACATTTGCTCAGTAGGGTCCTGTTACTCCCATATGCCAAAGACCAGACAGACCATGGCGGTACGTACTAGAGAAAGGGATAGAGCGGACTAAGCCAAGGGAAATCTTATCGCTCAACATCGTCTAGTGGATGTTCCAAATTCATGGGAGGAGCTATCATATATGTACTAATAGTGAGAACAAACCCGTAACATAGTAGTTCTCGGTACACATGGTGGTGATGAATATACCGCACCACAGTGGACGTGGTTGGACTCAAGAGCCGATGTAGCTCGCAGGGAGATTCACAGTTATCTAGTGCAGGGAAATCCAGAGCGCCATTGACTCTGTTGACTTTTATAGAAGATTCTCACCTTGTTTTGAATGTCCTTATGGCAGCACAACAACATACATTGCGGGCTTGGCGAGAGGATGCAGGCGGACTCGGCTTGTGTGGCTCGGTCTGCCAAGGGAAATAAGCGAGAGGCCGAGCCAGGGTGTCTCAGCTAGGAAGAACGCTGCGGTGATACACAAACGGCTGACCAAGACAAACTGTGTGTTGTTGAGTTGTGCCTATTTGTCGGGAGGGAGCTGAGACGGGCTGGGGTGCATGGCAGGAGTGGAGTGGATGGGTTCTCTGGATGGAGCAGGTCGGGTATAAGTGCATATGGCTAGCGGGCGAGCAACTGGCGGCCAGTTGAACACGTCGAGAACAAACATGGTGCATATTTTATACATTCAAATTCCGCGGGGTTTCCTTTCTGCTTTTTACGGCAGCGGGAGCAGAGAGCGGGCGCGGGGCTGAGGGAGGAACGGGGTTGATACATTGAGGAGCGGAAAGGGCGTGGTCTGTCGATCGGCGGCTTTGTTGGCCGGAACAACATAGATTGGAGGAACAGTCACATTTGATAAAGCCCGCTTGTCACGTAGCACATGTCACGGTGGCGTGGGGGAAAGAGGAGAGAGCAGCAGCCAGCAGGCAGCCCAAAAGTGTAGGCGGAAGCCGCAGCCGTAGCCACCAATGTGTGCGAAAAGCGCGTGCAGCGGATAGCAGATACGGGAGCGACTGTGATTGTTGGGACAATCACGACAATCACGTCTGAACATGGGCTGGGACTCAGGTGATGGAACGTCGAAGCCATATTGGATGGTCGTGGTGGGCTGGCGCGTAGAAGATGGTGTGAGGGGTTGGTTGCCGTTGTTTGCTAGGGAATCGGGGATCGACAAGACGACAAGACGACAAAGTCGGGTGCGAGTGGTGGACATGTGCCGCTTTGTGGAAGATGCAGATGCAGTAGGTAGTTGGGTTTTTTGATATCAGAACTCGGAATTGAGACATGGTGGTCGGTTACCAAGACATTGGCTTGACTCGGGCGATGCAGCGGCAGATGTGGCAAGACGGGTATGCTGGCAGCTGGCAGGTCGACGGAATCGACGAAATCCCCACGATGGCTCGTTCTTTGTGGGAGCAGGGGAGGGGAAGAGACGAGAGAGCAGCGGAGACGACGGGATTGTTGCCGTGAGCCACACATTTTGGTCGATGCACTGCTCTTGTAACTAGTGGCTTAGCGGAATCGAAAAACCATCGTGCATGAAGCTGCAGGCGCTGAAGGGCGTGTGCCAGGCAGGTGGATTGGGTTGCGTTGTTGGGCTGCGTCGGCGTGGTAGTTTGTGGAGGGTCTGAAGCTGGAGATGCGGAAAGATGGTAATTTGTAGATAATGTGGGGCCATTGACAAGCATGTTAGCTCGATATTGAGCGGGTTGCTGCACAAAGTAGGCTGATGGACTTGATGGCTGATCAGCTGGCAGACGAGGGACGAGGATGCAGGGTGCAAGAGGGCCACAGTGGACCGTTGATGTGTGGTTGCGTGTTGCTGGAACGCCCATCTAGTTACAAGTGGAGTTGCGTTTACGCTCATCAGTCAGTCCCGTATAAAATAGTCTTGCCAATTCCAGGCGGTTCCAGAGGTGTGCTGGGCGTAGCATGCAGCTTGTAACTACATACTAGGAGGACGGCTGGCCATTTCTCCAAGGAGGGATTGCTCCTGTCTTGCTGTGCCGTCGTCCAGTGGTGGGTGGGTGGTGGTGCCGTATTGGCATACCAGCTTTGCATCCAGTACGGAGTATCCGTACATGCAGGCGAGCCTAGCCGCCGCCCATGCCCAACTCCGTGTCACGATTCTGCTGCTGGCAGTCAGTGACATGCCGGTGAAGAGCACGCAGTACTCCGTCCACAGTACACAGTGCGGGTCGAGAAAGCAGGGTCCATGTGGCTGTCTTCCTTATTATTAAGAACAATTATGGTGATACTGGAGGCGCCGCCAGACACAGTTGCTGCACAGTGCGTTGGCAGTCTGGGGCGTGGCGGGTTTCGACGCCCGTCCTGAGGTAGATGTCGCAGCTGTGCTGGCCACCGCCCAACTGGACCCCTGTGACCATGATAAATGGGATACTAGGTCGCTGGTGCGCCGATGAAATGGATTATTAACAAAGCCGGCTTTTGAGGCTTGGGGCTTGGGGCTTGGGGCTTGGGGCGTGTGCCAGGGCGACGGGTGTGCGTTGGGTCCAACAACTCGCCATCGGCGCTACCGTTTGGCTGCCAGACTCGAGCGTTACGGAGCACAAGTACAGATTACTCCGTAATACCAGTACGGATACACCGTCACACGCACGACGGGCCTTAGAAATAAGGTACCGTGGCTTATTAGATTATTAGCCTAGTAGCACCGGCACACCCAGCGCCCGAACGACTAACCTGGCCCCTGTATCCCTATCTCGCAGACGGGAACTCGCTGTCATTCAGTGGCCCAGCCAGTGGCCAAGTGGCCCGGTGGCCCAGTCATCCATCCGCCACCGTCTGTCTCGCCGCTTCCCTCCTCTTCTTCCCTCCCCATTTCTCAACCCAACTCTTCTTCTTCTCCTTCTCCTCTTCCCAACTCTCTTCTTCCAAATCCTCTCGTTGCAACAGCTTCACCCTATTCTGCAACGTCAAAGCCATCCTTTGCGTACACACACCTCCAACGATATACTCACACAAGCCAACGTTTGCCTCGTTTGGCCTGCACACGACCACCGCCTCGCTTCACCGTTGCTGCTTACCGATCACGGAACCGCACCCATCGTCCACCGAATAGTAGCCAGACCAGTGCAGTCCCAACAACGACTGCACAACCCAGTCAATTACAACCACTCTCGCTAAGCAAGAACCATGCCTCCCAAAAAGATCCGCTGCAACGCCAAGGAGTGCCGCGAAGCCGCCCAGCGCATCGTCGGCGACTGCGGCTTCTGCAACGGCCATTTCTGCGGCAAGCACCGCCTATTAGAAGATCACAAGTGCAGCGGCCTGGAAGACGTAAGTTGAATCATGGTCCTCTTCTGCCCTCTTGTCTCAACTTTGACGGGTTGCCCGGAACTCTGTGGCCAAACCCTGCGGCCGGGCTCGTGTTGCTCATGCTGTCCCGTGATGCGAGACGCCGGGCGCACGCCCCAATCAGTCAGTATCAAGGGCGCTAACTCGGCGTTGGGCCGCCCACTTTGCCCACCCCGGCCACCGCCGCTACAACCAGGCCACCTCGTCTACGTCACCGCCTGTCACTTCCCATGCCCGAAAGTTGGCCGTCTGAAATATTGTCATGAACATGCTGACATGTCTTTTTTGTCTAGTGCAAGAAACAATCGTATGAGCGCAACGCCGCCCAGCTCGAGTCGGAACGAACCCAAGTGATTCGTGGCGTCTAACGGCGTCTCGCCTACTAAAACGTTACCACTATCACCGACCGGCTCTTCTCAACGGCGCGCACTGCACCAAGCTGTTGGCCCTTGGGCTGCGCCCACCCGCCATCACTTCTCCCTCTCCCCTTGACTCTCCCCCTGACGACGATTCCAACGATATTGCTAGCGACGGAGGCAATTCCCATTTTCGGTCTCATTTACCCGGCCACTTTGTTTTTTCTTGGACTACCTGATTTTCTCCACGGGACATGCGACGGACCTTGGCCTACCGAAGCTCGACGATCCCTCTGTATTTTGTATTCTATTGGAGCTAGACACCCATCGGTGACATATGGCGTAATGGCTATTATTCAATACTTATCTTTAACTACATAACCCTTGTTATTATGCGCTCAAATCACATGCGAGATGTGTAAATTGTGCTGTGTGCGTCGAATGTTGGCCTCGTTCACGCTAGGCTGTGCGCCGGCGATGGCTTGTCGACGATGGGTGAAAGTAACTAGATTGTATTACATATGCAACGTCGCAGACAGCATGCAAACTCGGCAGAACGCACCATGACTGCCCGCCCGCCGCTCTGCACGCTCCAGAGAAAATGGCTGCGGGCGGTGCTGGCCGTGCTGGGCTGCCCGTGAACAATTGACTGACTCGTGTGGCCATGGCGGCATGCGTCGCAGCGGCAACGCCATTTACACCCAGCACTCTATGCATCGGCCGTGTAGTCTCAATGCAAAAACTGAAGATATGCATACATGCATGTACAACTTTGCTCTGTTTGATTGACCTGATAAGTCCGGCTATTGCTGTGCGGGCGTCAATGCTTGTGTTCGTCCGTCCTTGTACCTACCGCCCGGCTATTTGGTGTGGCGAGGCGGGCGTTGCCTAAAACGGCGTCGCCGTAGATCGGAACCCGATGGCATGTATGTATTGGGTAACTAGGTACGGAGTAGTCGGCGACAAAAACCATCTAAGTAGGTACCTAGGTAACAAACAGACCACTTGGACTTTTCCATTCGGTGCCAAACAACTCAGCGACTAGCGAGGCGCTGCTATAAAAGCCTCTCGCGCAGCAAGGGAAGCGGAGAAGTCAATCTGTATCACGGTCCGGTCGGGCTTCTCGATACCAAGGCTTAGGCTTACGTTTGCCCATTGTCCCGTCTCAACTTCGCTGCTGCAGGGGTCCGAGTCCCCGATAAGTCGATACTACCCAGATTGGCAGATACGGATAGCTACCGCGTATTGCAAAGGCCATTGGCAGATGTGCATGCTGCCATCTCGCAGCAGTGGCACAATCACAAGCAAAAAAAAGACTGCACTGGTCACGTAACGTGGCCCACTGACGAATACACGTCCGCCCCCGGCCATCCGACCTCGTTCCGAAGGGCTCTCTGCCAAGTCATGATTTCGTCGCCACGTCTGATTCCCATTTTCTTTTCCCTCTGTCCTCGCTCGTCTCGAGCTTTTGTTGGCTGTTGCTGTCGACCGCGGACTTGCTTCACCCACTCGTCGATGGTGGTGGACCCACCAAACTTTATGCGATGCTGCAGCTTCCCGTAACTTGACATTTCTCTGCTTGTCAAACAAGAGAATGCGTTAGCTGTCAGACTATTCGTGTTACCAAACTATAGTCGGTCTTTCAACGTACTGCGCATCTTGCCAATAATAATGATAATAATGGCATGCTCAGCGGATCACTTGCACTTACCAAGTAACTGAACCTTAGATTTGCCCGTACCTACCCCTTGAGCCTCCCAGTCCTCATGTATTAGAATTATTGAGATAATCGTACCAAAGGGGGCAAATGCCAAAAAAGATTGGAAAAGAATCTCAATTGGCAGTGTGACCATCAAGTCCACTCTGCCCCTCTTCCATCCCGGGTCGCTTTCCCGTCTGCATGCTGCCATATATATTACATTTCCCTTCTGACAGCTCTCCCTTGCTGCGCCTCGACTCTCATGCATGAGTTGGATATTGACAGGTAAAGATATTGACAGGTAAAGCCTCGCTCTCTCATATTTTTCCTTTATTAGCGCCATCCTAACCGAACGACTAGTCGTCCAGTCCGCTCTGTCTACAAATTACCAATTATCACAGCAAGCATCCCCTGGCCATGGTCTCTCAAATACAGGGCAAGGCTCAGCATTTAGGCGCCGCCGGTACGTTTTTTCTTTCTTTTTCATTGGGCATAAGAATATAAACCAACCCCTGCTTCGACGCATCTGTCCCGGGCCCCCGGTCACGCACAGGTAAACCGGGCTCGGGCAACAACCAACGTTCCCGGTCAACTTGAAGAGAAAGTCAGGGGAAAAAGCCGAAAAAGAAACAAAAATCATCTCTGAGACCTGCAAGTATCCCGCGCAGGCTGCTACGGTTACCATTTCCTGGTCAATGGTTTGAGGCTGCCTGCCCTACAAACGGCCGCTACCGCCACTGCCATTGCTAGCCTCGCTCCGCCAACTTTGCCTCTGCCTCAGACTTTTTTTTCCTTGGCTCTGTAACCTCTCCCTCGCACACTCGCCAACCAGATAAGAAGCCCTGATTCCATCTTCACTTCTCCCGTTTCCGGGGGCACCGTTGCTCTCAGGATTCACCCAATTCATTCTTAATCCCCCCGCCTCCTTTTTTAGCTGTCCATGGAAACTGTACCATGCTATTTACGCCCTTCATCATGACTGACGCCAAATCGGAAGCTGCGCAAGCCTCTGCGGACAGCAGCCCCCCCGCCGCCCGCCCCGACGCCGCACAGGAACAGCAACAGCGACAACAACCTCCCGCCCAAGACGCCGCTGATCATAAACCTGGCCCTACGACTGGGGCCTCGACACCCGCCGTGCGATTCTCTTCGGCCGTACAGGAATTCTCGCCTGTCCAAGACGACACCCCGGCTGCTGCTCCCGACGCCCCCGCCGCCCAGTCGCAAGAGGTCACCCCCGAGCAACTGAGGGCCTTTACCAAGTCGCTCCAAGGGCCGCTGCTGCAGGAGCGTCGCCTGAATACCTACCAATTTGAAGCCTTTTCTCTTCCGCCGTCCCGTGTAAGTTGATGTCAATTTCGTTTCCCCCTTGCCCGCTGCGTTTTCCAACAGCGGCCACGGCACACCCCCGCCAACCCCACCACCATACTGATGCCACTGCGTCAAGGTTCCCTCCCGCGAGGAAGACTCTCCCGACTCAACACGCCTTCATACCCCCGTATCCTCCAGTTACCACTCTCCCCATGGCAGTCCTCGCATCTCAGCGCTGGCCTCCCCGCCTCTGACGCCCTCGGGCTCAGCCGGCGAACGACGAGCCAGAGACAAGCGCCCCGTCGGCGCCACCGGCAGTGACTCGCACATGATTACACCGTTGCAATCTACCTCCCAAGAAGCCCTCGCGCAAGAGCGAGCATCGTTGGTCCATCGCCCAGGCTCCGATCATGCTGCTCTGCGTCGCTCCTCATCCGTCGAGGAACACCTTGGCGATCCTCGCAGCCACCGCAAGGGCATGTTCAGCGTCGGCGGCAGCTCCGTTCCAGTCTCTCGCGAATCAAGCCCTTCCCGCAGTTCTGCCTCACATTTTTACTCCAAGCCCGCCACCCCGATTGGTGATCTCAATGACCCCTACGCAAAGAATCGACGCCCACCACTGCAGCCCCACCCCAGCCGCGCCTCCATTGACCCGCGCTTTGTCTTTTCAAAGAAGAAGAAGCACGGCTCCCCGGGTGGTTCCCGTTCGAGCCTGGCTGGCTCTGGAGCCTTTAACTCCTCCAAGGACGATTCGAGCGACGGAGGCTCCGGCCATGGCCACGGCCACGGCCACCACCATGGACACGGATCCATGGCCGATCTGAAGCGCTTCTTCCGCAAATCGGGCCACAACAAGAAGCGCGACGCCTCGCCTGGCCCGCCCAAACCCAAAACCCACACCCCCCCGAGCAGCTCCCGCAGTTCTCAGCTCGTTCCCTTTGCCGATGATCATGGACTCAGCTCTAAATACGGAAAGCTCGGCAAGGTTCTTGGGGCTGGCGCTGGTGGCTCCGTCCGTCTCATGCGCCGCAAGGAGGATGGCACTGTTTTTGCCGTAAAAGAGTTTCGCGCTCGCCACACCTACGAGTCCGAGAAGGAATACGCCAAAAAGGTAACAGCCGAATTTTGCGTTGGTTCCACCCTTCACCACGGCAACATTATCGAGACCCTCGACATTCTCCAGGAAAAGGGTCGCTGGCTCGAGGTCATGGAGTACGGCCCGTACGATCTTTTCGCTATTGTCATGACTGGTAGAATGACGCGCGAGGAAGTCAGCTGCTGCTTCCTCCAAATTCTCAACGGCGTGACATATCTGCACAGTCTGGGTCTGGCCCACCGCGATCTCAAACTCGACAATGTTGTCGTTAGCGACAAGGGCATCATGAAGATTATCGACTTTGGTAGCGCCCATGTCTTCAAGTATCCGTTCGAGACGGAGACTGTTCTAGCCAAAGGTAAGCTTGCCAAGTCTGCTTTTGCGTCACAACTAATAAGTCCTAGGCATCGTCGGATCGGACCCGTATCTGGCACCTGAAGTATACGATCAAAAGGAGTACGACGCGGCTGCGGTGGACATTTGGTCGCTGGCGATCATTTATTGCTGTATGAGCCTGCGCCGCTTCCCTTGGAAGCTGCCGCGCATGACAGACAACTCTTTCAAGCTTTTTGCCTCTGAGCCAACGCCTGGCCATGACCCCAAGAAGCTGATTGTTGGAACGCCGTCGACGACTTCCTCAGCTGCCAATATCTCAGCTCTTTCTACTCGTGAAGCCGAGCAGCGCTCCAAGAGCCAGCATGAGTCTGGGGAGAATGGCACTACCAACTCGAGCGCTACTACTGGAGACTCCAAATCTGTCGAGCTCCAGCACGAGCCTAAGCATGACGAAAGGCAAGAGAAGCAAGAAGAGAAGCAAGAAACGAAGACCGAGCCCAAACCTCAGGAGGGTGAGAAGAAGGAAATCATCAGAGGACCTTGGCGCATTCTTCGACTTTTACCCCGATACAGCCGTCACGTCATCCACCGCATGCTCGAGCTTGACCCCAAAAAACGCGCCAAAATGGAAGAAATTCTAGAAGACTTCTGGGTAGGCGACACGGTCATATGTCAACAGCTGGAGAATGGTGAGGTGCTTGCGGCCGAGGACCATGTGCACGTGCTTGAGCCGCCGAACAACCCCAGCACATAGACGAGCTCCGGTGGACGTGCGGCCAGCAACTTCCGAGTCGCCAGTCTCCGACAGACGCCAAGATGACCTGCAATGCGCAGACGAAGAAGCGAGAAATAATGCGTGGAGAAGACGTTGGCACATGAAATATGGCTGACATTAATAGTACTAGTATTAGAAGAAGGGTATATACAGACTAGTGGATACAGCGTTGAGGCAACTACATAGTTATGGGTTACAGAAGGGACCTCGGGGTACGGGTTGTTTTCCTATTTTGGTCATTACGAATATTGGATAAATTATTGGTTAGAAGAATACAATTAATGAACATTGGTGTACTTTCTCATGTGTAATCTGTACCGAGGTGACGATGGCAGGGCAGTAACTGAGAGGTAGGTGGGAATTCGCGGTAGGGGCTGGTCGGAGGTGGAAAAAAGGCGTTGCCGGGTGGTGCGAATTTCTGGAAGCTGTTGGAAGAGAGCTCCACCTACCGCGGGTGACTTTGGGCCTGGAAAGAACTTGACCCTTTTTTTTTTAAACCTGTCCATCAAGCCTCATCATTTGCAATACCCCGACGACTCGACATCAATTGATTGCACCCGTCAACATATTTACATTCTCATCAAAATGGTACGCTTGGAATTCTTCTCCGCCGCGGGACAGTGGCTGCTGGACGGGACCCTGCGCGTTCTGCATGGCCAGGTTCACCGGCGCCCCTAATGCGACGACTCACCCGCAGCCTGCTTTCCTTCCCGGCGCGCAGCAAGAGAGACAAGAATCAAGGAAAGCTAACTGAAAATCAATCAAAAGGCCACCACTATCCGCTCCATCCGCGCCCTCAAGCCCCTCCTCGACCGCGTGCTGGTGCAGCGCATCAAGGCCGAGACCAAGACGGCCAGCGGCATCTTCCTGCCCGAGTCGTCGCTCGAGAAGCTCAACGAGGCCAAGGTCGTGGCCGTCGGCCCCGGCGCGCTCGACAAGAAGGGCTCGCGCCTGCCGATGGGCGTGGCCGTCGGCGACCGCGTCCTGATTCCCCAGTTTGGCGGCTCCCCGGTCAAGGCGGGCGAGGAGGAGTACCAGCTCTTCCGCGACAGCGAGTGCGTATCCCCCTCGTGTGATGAGACATGTAAATAGGGATGTTTCGTATGCTAATTGATTGGTGTGTGTGTAGGATTCTTGCCAAGATTAACGAGCAGTAAATCGTCAGACGAGAAAAGATGTGGACGGGAACGGGGATCGGCGGTGATGCGGCTCGAACGCGCCACGAATCTCCGCTCGCCCCCTTCTTTATCACCTCCTTTTCCAGGACTGGCACAGATCCAAGAAGAAAAGAAAAGGAAATTGCATAAAATTGGTGTACTATATGCTGTACAATAACACAAGCGAGGACAACTGGCAGTGGTGGCACGAGGAGGAGAATTTTGTCTGTACGAGCTGAAAAGAGGGGGAAGAAGAAGAAAATAATGTATCAACATCAGACTGTTCGGGGCACGCAGGGGCGCTGTTGTAGAACTTGTGCAATGTACATGAGGCAGAATGGATGGCTTGGAGCAAGGCCTGGGTGGGGAAAATTAAGTTGTTGAGATAGAAACGGCCGATTTATTGGCTAATACTTGTTAGATGAACGATACGAAAAAGAAATCTCCGCTCACGGAACAAAGAACAAGCCTCATCTCGAAACATGGCCAGATGGGGAACATGTCGCGAGTAGGAGGAAGCAACTTCGACTCGCAGAGTGATGGTGATGCGCGCAGCATGGTTTCAATATAATTAAACGCTGGCTTGCCGATCAAAACAAGTCATCTCGATTCCGTTTGGCGGGCGTTTGCGTTTCATGTGGCCTCGGCGTGAGCCCAAACGGACTGCACCTGCATATCCTCTCATCGGTTAAGGTATTTGTTCAATCTCCGTCACAATCACAATTTGGGTTCTCGATGGGGGGGAGGGCTTGGCTTGGGGCGCCGTCGTGCAACCTCGCCCAGGCAGGATTAAATAACGTTTCATGTTGTCAAGGAGCTGCGTACAAACGCCTCGTCCAATTCGTTCTCGTGGTCGTGTTGCACCACGAGCACCCCCCCCCCCCCGTCAGTCACAGGGCGGCTATATATGCTGCAGCCGCCGTCTTGCCTGTTTGTTCGGTTCTACACGTCCTTTTGCCCTCCAGGACTCGCCGGCTCGTTTGTCTCTTTGAACTTTTTTTTTTCACTTCCCTTTTTTACCCCAGCTAAGTGCTGAAGACACTCCTTTTTGGTATCACGCAGACGGAGGCTTTGCTTCATCCCACACAGCGTTTTGCGACGTACTCTTTCTCTCACATATCCACACTCTCTCCTTTACCTGTTTCTTTTTTGTTTCGTTTTCCCGCTTCCCTGATTAGCAAAAATCTTTTTCTCCCCCGAGTACAGAGTGAACCGCGTCAAAAATATGAAGCTGCTCAACATGCTGGCGTTGGCCTCTGCTGCCACTGCCCATACGCTCTTCACTACGCTCTACATCAATGGCAAAAACCAGGGCGACGGGACGTGCGTCCGAATGCCCAAGAGCGGCGCTACCGGAACGTCGCCCATTTACCCCATCACTGGCGATGCCATGGCTTGTGGTACGTACATGCTACTGCTTCATGTGCTCCCTCTCACCACAAGGCAGCAACAAACCCCGTACTAACATGCTCTCCTCCTCCCGGCTCTAGGCTACGGCGGCCGCGACCCCGTACCGTTTGTCTGCCCGGCCGCCTCGGGCGCCAAGCTGACCTTTGAGTTTCGGCTGTGGCCCGACGCCCAGCACCCCGGCGCCATCGACGAGGGCCACAAGGGCCCCTGCGCCGTGTACCTGAAGCGCGTCGACGACATGTTTGCGGACCCGCCGGCCGGCGACGGCTGGTTCAAGATCTGGGACGACGGCTACGACAGCGAGACGAAGGAATGGTGCTCCGACCGCCTCCGCGCCCACGACGGGCTGCTGTCGGTCAACCTACCCACCGGCCTGGCCCCGGGCTACTACCTCGTCCGGCCCGAGATCCTGGCCCTGCACTTTGCGTACAAGGGCGATCCGCAGTTTTTCCTCGGCTGCGCGCAGATTTTCGTGCAGGGCGGGCCGGCGGGCGCCGTCATCCCCAAGGACAAGACGGTGTCGATTCCCGGCTACGTCAACGCGCAGACGCCGGGTCTGGGCTTTGACATTAACAAGGAGCCGCTGCCCGCGTACCCGATGCCCGGCCCGGCCGTGTACCTGCCCCCGGCTGCGCCCCCCTCGTCGTCGGTCCAGGCGCTCAAGCAGGCAGCGCAGCAGCAGCAGCAGCAGCAGCTGTCCAAGGGCGCGGTACCGCAGACCTGCCTCATCAAAAACGCAAACTGGTGCGCCAAGGAGGTGGCCCCGTACACGGACATGGAGGGCTGCTGGGCGGCCGTCAAGGAGTGCTACGCGCAGAGCAAGGTCTGTTGGGACTCGGCGCGCGCGAGCGGCTCGGCCAACTGCTACACGTGGAGCGACTACTGCACGGCCATGAACGACGCGTGCGAGCGCGAGGAGTTTCAGGGCCCGCCGGCGTTTGACGGCAAGGAAAAGTATGCGACGGCCCCGGACGACATCCCGGAGCCGTGGGGACATCGCATTGCGGAGAGGGGGGGACACGGAGATGGGTGGTGGCGAGGAGCGCGTGACGGCGACGACGAGCCAGGCGCCGCCGGGTGAGCCTGCGTGCACAAAGACGGCCCGGGCAGGAGACGGAAAGACCATCGGCGGCGGCGGGCTGAAGTGGGACGTGTCGAAGGACGGCAAGTGCGGTCCCGAGTTTGGACAGACGTGCTCTGGCAGCGCGTTTGGCAACTGCTGTTCCAAGAATATGCAGTGCGGCAGCGACGCTCGACACTGCTCGTGCGGCTGCTCGCCCGAGTACGGATCATGCTGGTAGATGTGCTGTAGCTTGTTCACGACTGCGGTCTTTTTTCGTCTGTAGCCCACACAGTTCAATATTACATATCGGTTGTCACGATGATATTGTCATGTTCGGATCATGTGTCGGCCGGCCCACTCATGAGCGTATTCGTTCCGTCTGCCTTTACGAGCAGGAACTAGTTGGGCCTGTTCTCCTGATTTCCGGTCGTTGAAAAAATGGCAGCCTGGAGGATGGACTGACAAGGAAAGTTACTGTCGGCGGCTGTGAATGCCAAGCGGTGTACCTGATACGAAACGGGGACGCGCGGAGTGAGTGGCTTGGGCGGGTAGAACCTACCTGCAGGGGGGCAACAGGCCACAGTTCCGGGAGCTAAAACGGCGGTGGTGGAGGATGTGACGTACTGATAACCTGGCTTTCTGTCAAGGTACCTGAATGAGGCGAGGTACTTGTATTTTGCCCGGGGTTGGTAGGGATGCCTTGTACCTACATCGACAGAAAGATAGCACGCAGACATACCTCGGTGATCTGACACCAACCAACTCTTTGGGCGGTAGTTAGTCAGGCTCATTTTGTCTCTCCGAATTAAACAGCCTCGTAGCTTGCCATATTAACTCTACAATTCAGCTCATCGTGGATTTTCTATTTTATCCATTTTTTTTTTAAACCAGGATTTCGGCTCTTCCCACTTCCCACTGTCTGGCCGCCTCCACCATAATCAGCAGCGCAGCAGCCTTCCCCCACGGCCAACGCCTACGCGGGTCCGCTTCTTCCTCTTCTTCACCCTTTCCCGTCCAACTTCTGCCGCACCACCAGAAACCCCCCTCCGTCATCGCCAACGAATTGCTGTCCTGTCCGGAACGTCTCCTCACCCACCAGCGCGCCCCTAAACTCACAACTTCGACTCGATTCCGCGCTCAACAAACCCTGAACAGAATATTTGTTTCCTTCTCCAGCCCGTCATCGTAATCGGCCGTCTCACCCCTCGCATAAACGCTGCGTTGTCTTGTCCGCCACCGACCATCGCCCAAAGAAGCCTATTATCTAGCACGACTCTCTCTCCCCATCCAGCACACCGACTTCGCAGCCAGTCGGACCATTATAAATGGCAATGCCAAACAATCGCAACTATGACTTCCTTGTACGATTTCTCTGAATTTCTTCTTCTGACGCCTGGGTTGGCTGCCCTTGTGGCTGGTTTCGTCGTGGTCAATGCAGTGCCAACGGGCCCCTAACTGCTGCATTGCGCGGCTACCTCGGCGCGCCTTACCCCCCCGCGCCTCCCAACGCACTCGCTAGACTAACAATGAGATGAAATTGGGCTGACCATTTGCGCGCCCGTCGCTGCACTCTCTATAGATCAAGCTCTTGCTGATAGGCGACTCGGGCGTCGGCAAGTCCTGCTGCTTGCTGCGCTTCAGCGAAGACTCCTTCACACCCTCCTTCATCACCACGATCGGCATCGACTTCAAGATCCGGACAATCGAGCTCGATGGCAAGCGCGTCAAGCTACAAATCTGGGACACCGCCGGCCAAGAACGCTTCCGCACCATCACCACCGCCTACTACCGAGGTGCTATGGGTATCCTGCTCGTCTACGACGTTACTGATGAGCGCTCCTTTAACAGTACGTCAATCTTGCGATTGCCGCCTGCCATCAACTACCTAAAGGCGGCAACACACTACTTTTCTACTAGCACACTCCCTGACCAATCTAGACATCCGCACCTGGTTCCAAAACGTAGAGCAACACGCTACCGAGGGCGTCAACAAGATTCTCATCGGCAACAAGTGCGACTGGGAAGACAAGCGCGTCATCTCCGAAGAGCAGGGTCAGGCCCTCGCTGACGAGCTCGGCATCCCCTTCCTCGAGGTCTCGGCAAAGAGCAACATCAACATTGACAAGGCCTTTTACAGCCTAGCCGCCGACATCAAGAAGCGACTCATTGACAACTCAAAGAACGAGGCCGGTTCCTCTGGAGGTGTCAATGTCGGCGACAAGACGGAGGGCGGAATGGGCGGCAAGTGCTGTTGAGAATGGACGGCCGTGCAGAGAGAGGATCAAACTGATAAGGACGAAGAAGAATGAGAGAGGACCATGGCAGGATATGCTGGGAGACCATGGTACTAAGCGGAGGATGGATTAATTTTTTTGGCAAGGATAGAGCGAAGAGAGACCAGGAGAATGAGGAATGAAGCAAACTCCCCACGTGGACACTACAATACCACCACGACACTCGACAACAAACAACAACGACTTACTTACTACCCGTCTCTCCGCCCCGAACCGCGTGCCTGGGGAAATATGGCACGCAAACACACACCCGAGAGAGCCTTTTTCTGTTAGTTTTCTATTTATTGCATTTTTCCTTTTTGACTTGGAAGGCCACTTTGGCTGTTTGTGATGTCGTTTTTGTACTATAAAGATACTGCAAACCTGAACTAGAGTATAGCAAGTCTGGTCTTTTCAGTCTTGTACTCACGATGATTAGAATGTCTGCCCCAGTATGCGAAAGAATCCTTTTCAAAGTAAAGACGTCTGGCACACGACAGTGCATCAAGAGGCGAAACAAGAATGACGCGGCATACCCGCCCTAGCTATTTTCATACCATTATTACATATGCTACAGAATATATACAGACCGCAGCCGCGGCGGACGCCATCTAATAATCCAGCACCTGCGTCCGCACAAAGTGCCGCGGCGCGCCCCCAGCCGGCGGCATGTCGCGACCGCCCAGCCAGCGGCCGTTCCAGAGGCGATGAAAACGCTGCGCCTCAGCGTCGTCACGAAAGGCGACGACGAAGCGCCGCAGCGCGGCGCCCTCCATGTGGCGGGCGACGCGGCGCAGGCCCTCCCTCTTGCGCAGCACGGCGCGGAGATGCTTCTCGTCCTCTTCGCTGACAGCGGCGACGGCCTGCCGCTGCTCGCCGTCCCCGTTGGCGGCATCGCCGTCGTCGTCGTCGTGACCGAGACGCGCGTCAAAGGCGGCGACGACCTGGTCGGTGAGGCGCTGCAGCTGCAGGTGCATGTTGGCGGCGA